AGGAGCGGCCACTGCACTCCAGTCTGGGTGACAGAGTGGGACCCCAACTCAAAAAAAAAACAAAACAAAAATAAAAATAAATAAAAATAAATAACAAGCCGGGCTCGGTGGCTCAGTCTGTAATCCCGCGGTTTTGGAGGCTGCGGTGAATGGATTGCCTGAGCCTGCGGGTTCGAGACCCACCTGGGCAACGTGGCAAGACCTCATCTCCACAATAAATCAAAAAATCAGCCGGGCGTGGTAAGCGCACGCCCATAGTTCCAGCTACTTGGAAGGCTGAGGCGGAAGGATCGCCGGAACCCAGGAGGTCGAGGCTGCGGTGGCTGGGAGCGGTCCTGCACTCCAGTCTGGGCAACAGAAGTGAGACTCTAACTCAAAAAATAAATAAATAAATAACAGAAAATGATTAGAGAAAAAGTGAGCACAAAAATTCCCTTCCTTGGCCGCAGCAGAAACTGCATTTCAAGGGCTCAACAGCTACACGTTGCTAGTGGCTACTGTACCACAGTGTACAGAACATCTCCCTCTTTCTGGAAAGTTCTGTCACACAGTCCTACTGCAGAGACCACATGGGGAGGACAGACCCCCTCCCACACCCCCCATCCTGGAGATCCGTGTGCAGACCCGACAGGTGGGCGTACCTGGCTCTTCTTCTCCTTCTGGTCTAGGATTCTCTGCAGCACCTTCCTCTCCTTCTTGGTCAGTGGCTTCTTCTCCTTCTTCGATGGGGGAGGGGCTTTGGCCTTCTTTTTTTTCTTCCCCGGCAGGACCAGCGCGTTGCTGGCATCGACGCCTTTCAAGGTGTCCTTGTCTGAACAGACACACTCGCCTCACCCACTGCCCCCGAAGCCAGAGTGCAGACACTTCTTAATGCCCCATTATCCTCCAAAGTGGCTATTCTAGCCTCACACAGGCCCCGACCTACCTGTGGGCCTCCAAGCTTGCACATTGAGACCGGGTGGCGGGGAGATCTGAGGTCAAATCTACTTAATAATACCATGACATTCTCTTCTCTTTCTCTGTTTTTTTTGAGTTGGAGTCTCACTGTGTCGCCCAAACTGGAGGGCAGTGGCACGCTCCTGGCCACCGCAGTCTCGACCTGCTGGGCTCTGGTGATCCTTCCAAGTAGTCAGAACTACAGGCGCACGCTACCACGCCCAGCTAATTTTGATTTATTGTAGAGATGAGGTCTTGCCATGTTGCCCAGGCAGGTCTCGAACCTGTGGGCTCAGGCAGTCCTCTTGCCTCCACCCCCCAAAGTGCTGGAATTACAAGAGTGAGCCACTGCACCCAAAGTTGTCTTATTGTTCTTAGTGAGGGTTATAAAACCTCTCCTGTTCTTTGTAAGATAAAGATTGGCTAACAAGCTGGGCTCGGTGGCTCAGCCTGTAATCCTGTGCCTTTGGGAGGCTGAGGTGAGTGGATTGCCTGAGCCCATGGGTTTGAGACCGGCCTGGGCAACTTGGCGAGACCTCATCTCTACAATAAATCAAAATGAGCCGGGCGTGGTAGCGCGTGCCTGTAGTTCCAGCTACTTGGAAGGCTGAAGTGGAAGGATCGCTGGAGTCCAGCAGGTCGAGGCTCCGGTGGCCGGAAGTGGCCACTGCACTCCAGTCTGGTTGACAAAATGAGACTCCAACTCCAAAAAAAAAAGATTGGCTCACACCTGTAATCCCAGCACTTTAGGAGGCCAAGGTGGGAGGATTGCTTGAGGCCAGGAGTCCGAGACTAGCCTGGGCAAATAGTGAGACCCCCCCCCATCTCTCTAAAAATAAAATAAGTAAAAAAATAAAGACGGACCGGACGTGGTAGCTCAACCCTGTAATCTTAGCACTTTGGGAGAGCAAGGTGAGGGAATTGCCTGAGCCCACGGGTTCGAGAACAGCCTGGGCAACTTGGCAAGACCTCATCTCTACGATAAATCCAAAAAATTAGCTGGGCATGGTAGTGCACACCTGTAGTTCTAGCTACTTGGAAGGCTGCGGTGGAACGATCACCTGAGCCCAGCAGGCCGAGGCTGTGGTGGCCGTGAGTATCCCACTGCACTCCAGCCTGGGTGACAGAGTGAGACTCCAACTCAAAAAAAAAAAAAAAAAAGACAATTTTAAGCAAAGCAATGCAAGCTATCCTCTCATCTATCCCCATTCTGTAGTTCTCAAATAAATAGAAATAAGGGGGGAAAAAACGGAATGCACAGTGATGTTTCTCATAGGCTACAAACTGCAGGACAATGTTGTTGCCCTGATGGCTAATAGAGCACATGCTGGCACAAACATTCCATGTTACAAACGCTTCTCAGTTTTAGGTCGGATGCAGTGGCTCATGCCTGTAATCCCAACACTTTGAGAGGCCAAGACAGGAGGCTTTCTTGGGCCCAGGAGTTAGAGATCAGTCTGGGCAACATAGGGAGACCTTGTCTCTACAAATAAAAAACAAAAATTAGCCAGATGTGGTGGTGTATACCTGCAGGTCCAGTTACTCAGGAGGCTGAGACAAGAGGACCAAGGCTACAGTGAGCTGCGATCATGCCACTTCACTCCAGCCTGAGTGACAGAGACTCCAACTCAAAATAATAAAAAAAATAAAAATAAGGAAGTGGGTAGTGGGGACAGCTCTTTCCAAAGAGAGCCAGAGACCCATTCTAAGATCCCTCTGGCCCCTGAGAAAGGCGGTACTAAACTGAGACGTCTTGCTCTGATGTGATCAACAGCTTTCCCCAAGTCTCTGGGTCTGAGACCTCAGCCCCTCTTCTCAGATAACTGGGTTTCAAGTGTCAGCCTGGTGTCTGTGGCACTCTTCGAGGTACCACCCCGAGATGTCGCTGTTATTGCAAGGGCTGATGCCTGTCCCAGGACACGTTCCACCTCCACAGCCTTCCTTTCCTTTTCCCAGCAGGTAGGGCTGCAGCTCCAAGGTGAGCAGCCCTCAACTAAAATGCTTGGGATCAGACAAGTTATCTCCGAGTTTTGGAATACCTGTGTTATACTTACCGCATGAGCACCCCTAATCTAGAAACCCGAAACACGAAATGCTCCAACGAGCATTTCCTTTGTGCATCATATTGGCATTTAGAAATATTTCGAATTATGGAGTATCTGGATCTCGGATTTCCGAATTAGGGATGCTCACCCTGTGCTACTTGTCCCATTTTGTAGACAGGAAAACAGACACAGAGATGTCATGTGCCTCAACCCCCAGCCTAGGTGTGACACTTCGGCCCAGGAAACTCCTACCCTGCTGTTCTTTCCTACCACCTTGCTGCCTTCCAGCCCATGCAGGTGTGGGGAGAATCCAACTGGTCCATAGAGGGAAGCGGGTTTTTCCAATAGCTCCCTGGTTCCTCTTCCCTCTGCTCTAGGAAACTTTCCTACTCCAGGAACCTTTCCTAACACCTAAACCCACCGGGCACTTGGGGCTTACACAGTGGCTGGATGAGCTCAACTGTGATGTTTAGCTTCATGGGCTGCAGGACATCCTTGGATGCACTCAATCGCCCTGCCCCAGCTCTCCACCACAAACGGCCCTGATAGATGCCCTCCTGCTGTGAGGTAGAAGGAGGAGGGGCGTCCTTCCCTTCCTCCTTGACTCCAAAAGCAATAGCTGGATGGTGGGCCCTCCTTCCTGGTTCCAGGACAACCACACTCCCACTCTCCACAGTCCTCATGTGGCTCCAACCCCTGCGATCCCCTTTCCCTTCCCAGGGCTGGCCTCATTCCCTCTTCTTCGGACCCTAACACACCCCCCAGACCACCCATATTCAAAGCCAAGTTCTTGGTACCCATCCCCCGCCCCAGCTGCCCACTAGCGCCATTCTTGTCACCTCCTTTGTTCTTGTGCACATATTGCCTTCAAATCCACTCACTTCTCACCTCCCAGACAGCTGCCCTGGGTCCAAGCATCCACTCCACCTCCTACCCCACATCCCAGTTCCACCTCTGCCCTCTTGCTTTTCCTCAATACAGCAGCCAAAGTGACTCTGCTAAAGCATAAGCCCCATCCCATCTCCCTCTGCTCTAAACTCTCCACGATGCCCAGTCTTTGCCATGATCCATAGGGCCCCACCTGCCCGGCCTCCATTTTTCCCCTCATCTCTCCTCAGACACTGGAGTCTCCTTTAGGTCTGGACCCTGGCCCAGTGAGGCTTTCCCAAAACCCCGTGGGCTGCCACATTGCCTCCAAATCTCTCCTGCTTTACCAGCTTGGTCCTCGTGTCCACGCAACATTCTTTAGATTTTATGTGTTTCCTTTTGCCTGTCTCCTACAAGCATGTAACCTCGAGGATTTTTTTTTTTTTTTTTTTTTTTTT